ACATCAGGAATACGCTGGTCTAAACGATCAAGGTGTGACAGAAGCTTTAGGGACGTCGTCCACCCAGACCCGTCTGTCTCCAGGGTTAGCCTCCTGGTGAGGTTCACCGGTAAGAATGATGCTGCCGCCTCTGTACCCCGTAGTCAGGATGATGCTCTTAGTTTTGAGAGTTGACTTGCTGATCATGTGCAAACTTTTAGTTCCGTTGGAGTAAGGACACGTGTCCAACATGAAGGTAACCTAAAATATTGTCCTTCTATTTTGGTTCTTGAGTCTCGGCTTCTTCCTCTCTGAGCGGCCCTACGGCCAATGTTGGTCCAGAACCTGTTCCACCGTGGATCCTGACGCTCTGCCCGGTTTGGATCGTCTCTAGATTTATTTCTGAAATTCATTCCCACCTTTTCTTCTAGAAGCTGTCTGATGGCTCGGCGTTTCCATGACGTTCCTGCTGGTATAGATCTGTTAGAACCAGTCAACATGGAACCTTCTGACATCTAGAGATCAGAACCAAGGATAAACCGGTCAAGTTGACGCCTATCGTTTCTCTACATCCTGATCTGGGTTTGCTCAGATTAGTGCGTAAACATCAGACATTATTTTTTCTGATCATTTAAACTGGACCGAACCAGAAACAGTTGATCAGAACCCCGCATGTAAACATCTGGATCTTACAGTGGAGGAAGGATCAGACACCAGTAGCTGGATGATTCGATCTATTGTAATTCTGACCTATTCCTCTATAGAGAGGAAAATACCTTTCAAAGGTCCAGATTAGACATGACCCATTCTCCTTCTGGTCCTAGGGATCCTAACTTTATTTATGATTCTGGTCTGGATTCCTAGGAACGGGTTCCGCAGACCCAGGATGGGCTTAGTTTGGTTCCTGATCCTCTAAATAAATCATCCTCTGCTGCTGCTGACCTTCACTAACTGCTCTGTCATTACCTCTGTTACTGAACCTCTGCTGCCCCCTGCTGGACTTTCAGACATCACATTTCCCTCTAAAACAAATTAAGTCCACAAAAATCTCAGATTTCCATCTAGATCAGATGTTTTCTTCTCATTTCTGTTCAAGTTTTACTAAATGACATTTAGATATTTTATTAATACCTGTAAATCTGATGTAAATCCACTCAGATTAAGGAAAAGATCTGATTGGATCAGGTGGTCCGTCTGAGACATCGACAGCACAGCAAACAAAAACATCTGTCTAACCCAAATCAAAGAGTTTTACTCCTTTAAAAAACCACCACTGATATTGGATTATATGCTGGATCTATACTTAAATTTTTTTTTTCTGATCATTTACTGAAAAAAACTTCCATGAATTAGAGTTTAGCTGTTAAACAGGTTTCCTGTAAGAACCAAAAGGTTCAGTTTAAGATTTTTAACTCCATTTTTTTGATCATAACTATTTAAATTAAAGAAAAACATAAGTTAAAAAAAATTTGATCTTATTTTTCACTCCTAACTTATGTGCACAATTGAAATCCTCCGTCGACCATTTCTACAGCATATAATCTCAGGGATTAAACACCCTGGCTGCCTTCAGATCCTGCAGGATGCATTGAGTTTCACAGCAAATGCTGATAAATAGTTTATTAAACTATTTACATCCCTTTTTTTAAGCTGCATCTGGTTAAAAAGGTGTTTTACTTTCCATTAGTTCTCAGCTTCTAGTTATTAAGCGGAGAAGGATTGCAGATTACTTATTAATAAAGATTATTATTAATAAAAGATGCAGAAAGTACGTTTTAGAAGCTGATTCTTCTACAGGATGTTTAATTTATTTTTTTACAGCATAGTTAGGTCTGAATTCATCGCCTATAAATACAAAAGCAATAAGATACCGATGATAC